AGGCTGGGAGGCCAGGAAGCAGGGAGGCAGGGAGGCTGAGAGGCTGGGAGGCAGGGAGGCAGGGAGGCTGGGAGGCCAGGAAGCAGGGAGGCAGGGAGGCTGGGAGGCTGAGAGGCTGGGAGGCAGGGATGCAGGGAGGCTCAGAGGCTGGGAGGCAGGAATGATGAGAGGCAGGGAGGCTGAAAGGCAGGGAGGCCAGGAAGCAGGGAGACTGGGAGGCAGGGAGGCCGGGAAGGGCAGGAAGCAGGGAGGCACAGAGGAAGGGAGGCTGAGAGGCTGGAAGGCAGGGAGGCTGGGAGGCTGAGAGGCAGGGAGGCAGGGAGGCTGGGAGGCTGAGAGGCTGGGAGGCTGGGAGGGGAGGCTGGGAGGCCGGGAGGCAGGGAATCAGGGAGGCTGGGAGGCCATTAAGCACGGAGGCAGGGAGGCTGGGAGGCTTGGAGGTTGGGAGGCTGGGAGGTTGGGAGGCAGGGAGGCTGGGAGGCTGAGAGGCTGGGAGGCAGGGAGGCTGGGAGGCCAGGAAGCAGGGAGGCAGGGACGCCAAGAGGCAGGGAGGCCGGGAGGCAGGAAGGCTCAGAGGCCGGGAGGCAGGGAAGCAGGGAGGCAGGGAGACCGGGAGGCAGGGAGGCAGGGAGGCAGGGAGGCTGGGACTCCAGTAAGCAGGGAGGCAGAGAGGCTGGGAGCCTGAGAGGCTGGGAGGCAGGGAGGCTGGGAGGCCAGGAAGCAGGGAGGCAGGGAGGCTGAGAGGCTAGGAGGCAGGGAGGCTGAGAGGGTGGGAGGCAGGGAGGCTGGGAGGCTGCGAGCCTAAGAGGTTGGGAGGCAGGGAGGCTGAGAGGCTGGGAGGCAGGGAGGCTGGGAGGCAGGAAGGCACGGAGGCTGGGAGGCCAGGAAGCAGGGAGGCAGGGAGGCTGGGAGGCAGGGAGGCTGAGAGGCTGTAAGGCAGGGAGGCCGGGAGGCAGGGAGGCTGGGAGGCAGGGAGACCATAAAGCAGGGAGGCAGGGAGGCTCAGAGGCTGGGAGGCAGGGAGGCAGGGAGACCAGGAAGCAGGGAGGCTGAGAGGCTGGGAGGCAGGTAGGCAGGTAGGCAGGTAGGCAGGGAGGCTGGGAGGCTGGGAGGCAGATAGACTGGGAGGCAGGGAGGCTGAGAGGCTGGGAGGCAGGGAGGCCAGGAGGCATGGAGGCAGAGAGGCTGGGAGGCAGGGAGGCTGGGAGGCAGGGAGGCTGGGAGGCAGGAAGGACAGGAGGCAGGGACGCTGGGAGGCTGAGAGGCAGGGAGGCTGGGAGGCCGGGAGGCAGGGAGGCATGGAAGCAGGGAGGCCGGGAGGCTGGGAGGCAGGAAGGCCAGGAGGCTCGTAGGCTGGGAGGCAGGGCGGCTGAGAGGCAGGGAGGCCGGGAGGCAGGGAGGCTGGGAGGCAGGAAGGCCAGGAGGCTCGTAGGCTGGGAGGCAGGGCGGCTGAGAGGCAGGGAGGCTGGGAGGCAGGGACGCATGGAAGCAGGGAGGCCAGGAGGCTGGGAGGCAGGGACGCATGGAAGCAGGGAGGCCGGGAAGCCAGGAGGCAGGGAGGCCGGGAGGCAGTGAGGCCAGGAGGCAGGGAGGCTGGGAGGCTGGGGTGGCCTCGGGAACCCCAGCCGGGTCAGGATGGGCACACGCTGGGGGGCGGGGA